AATAGAAAAGAAAAGAAAAGAAAAGAAAAGAAAAGAAAAGAAAAGAAAAGGAAAGGAAAGGAAAGGAAAGGAAAGGAAAGGAAAGGAAAGGAAAGAAAAGAAAAGAAAAGGAAAGAAAAGGAAAGGAAAGGAAAGAAAAGGAAAGGAAAGAAAAAGAAAGGAAAGAAAAGATTCAGTAAAAATGTGTATAAGAGATCAAACATGCTACACCCGTATAGGGCACTTACATGAATGGAGCCTCAGGGCTGGAAGTTGCTCTTCCAAGGGTCTTGCTCTGTCACCCAGGCTGGAGCGCAGTGGTGGAATCTCAGCTCACTGCAACCTCTGCCTCCCTGGTTCAAGTGGTTCTCCTTGCCTCAGCCTCCTGAATAGCTGGAATTGCAGGCAACTCCCACCATGCCCGGCTCAGTTTTATACATATATTTTTAGTAGTGACGGAGTTTCACCGTGTTGGCCAGACTGGTCTTGAACTCCTGACCTCAAGTGATCTGTCCGCCTCAGCCTCCCAAAGTGCTGGGATTACAGGTATGAGCCACTGAGCCCAGCCATTTATTATAATTATCAAGTATTATACACTGTACATAATTGCATGTGCTAGACTTTTGTAAGACTTCAGTGCAGTAGGTTTGTTTACACCAGCCTCACCACAGACACGAGTAATGCTTTGTGATACAACATCATGATGGCTACGATGTCACTAGGTGATAGGAATTTTTCAGCTCCACTACAATCTTATGGGACCACTGTCATAAATGCCAGGGGTTCTCAACCAAGGGCCTGTACCAGGGTCTGTGGCCTGTTGGGAACTGGGCCGCACAGCAGGAGGTGAGAGACAGGTGAGCAAGAGAAGCTTCGTCTGTATTTACAGCCACTCCCCATTGCTCACATTACTGCCTGAGCCCTGCTTGCTGTCAGATCAGATACGGCATTAAATTCTCATAGAAGTGTGAACCCTATTGTGAACTGTGCATGTGAGGGATCTAAGTTGCGTGCTCCTTATGAAAATCTAATGCCTGATGATCTGTCACTGTCTCCCATCACCCCCAGATGGAAGTGTCTAGTTCCAGGAAAACAAGCTCAGGGCTCCCACCAATTCTACATGATGGTGAGTTGTGTAATTACTTCATTATATATTTCAATGCAATAATAATAGAAATAAAATGTGCAATAAATATAATGCACTTGAAACCATCCTGAAACCATTCCCCCTGCCCTGGCTTGTGGAAAAACTGTCTTCCACAAAACCAGTCCCTGGTCTCTAAAAGGCTGGGGCTGCTGATATACATGGTCCATCATTAACCAAAACATAGTTATGCTTCCCATGACTATAGTTCTATTTCCCCCCCAAATCCATGATTATTTTGTTGTATTTTTATGGTGCTCTAATTATGTTCCTTGTTATGTTCTTATGATGTTATTTTCCTTTGTGTGTAAACATATTAAACATTTAGTTTATATTCTAATACTGATAATTCTTCTATGTCAAATCTTTGTTGGTCTGATTCTGCTGTTTATTACTTCAGTTGGCTTGTTCATGAAACTTTATATTCTTGTATGATTCTGAATTTTAAAAAATCATAATCTCATATTCTACAGAATTTTACTTGTGGCAATATTTTGATTCCTGTATTGAGGTACATTCTTTCAGAAATCATTTGCCTTTGATACATATAGGTGCCTGGAGACACTGACAATCAGGACCACTTTAAATTAAGTTTTCAGCTTAAAAAAAGTCTCGCCTATAGGAACTGGACTCCAGAAATGTGTGAGTGCTGGTTTATAATGGCAAATACTTAGGGTATATTCTTCAGACTCCACCCAGATTAGTTTTCTTTGTTAGGAATTTTCTCCCTGTCATTTTGTATTTTGTTCTGATTCACCATTTACTGAGGATGTGGATGAGGATCTGGGCCAGGTATGGTGGCTTATGCCTGTAATCCCAGCACACACAGCAGAGTCAATGCTTCCTTATCTATCTATCTGCATCCTGGTTTTGCTTTGGCATCTGAGGATTTTTCTTAGTTTATTACCCATTCAGCCATTTATTTTTTTTTAAATTAAATTTATATCCATGAAATACAAGGGTTTTGTGGTGTAAAGATTTTTCTGATATCCAATCTGTTGTTGCCTAATGAAAGTAAGCTTTTCTTAGTTTATTATTGTTTTAAAAGTCTGCTGCCTTTAATAAATAAGCTTTTCTTAAAAAATAATTAAAAATACTGAAATTTGTTTAAATTTCAAGCAACCCTAAAGTCCCCATATTAGTCCATTTTCTGTTGACTAAGAATGCCTGAGACTAAAACATTTGTAAAGAAAAGAGGCTTATTTAGCTCATAGTTCTGGAGGCTGGGAGGTCCAAGATCAGGCGACAGTACCTGGCTGACTTTTGGCAAGGGCTTCACTTTATGCTGTGTCATAACATGGTGGAGAAGGAAGGAGAAGTGCGTGTGCAAAGACCAAACACGAGAGGCAGTCTTGCTTTTAACAATTCACTCTGGTGGTAACTAATCCATCCCCAAGCGAACAAGAGTTTACTTTCAGGAGAAAGGCATTGATCCCTCTTGAATGACCTAATTACCTCTTAAAAACACCACTTCTCAACACTGCCACACTGGGCACCAAGCCTCAGCATGAGCTTTGGTGTTGTAGTCAAGCCATGGTACCCCCTTCTCCTTTAAGCTCAACCCTCCATCCCATTCCCCCTAAGGTAATTGCATGGAGACCATCTCCATTAAGACAGAAAAGTAAGAAAACAAGGTAATGTCTAAATGATCAGGACCCAAACTCTCTGAAAATCCATTTAAAGAGTTTGTTTTGTTTGATAATGAAAATCTGGGTCAGGTACAGTGGCTCATGCTTGTAATCCCAGCAATTTGCGAGGCTGAGATGGGTGGATCAACTGAGGTCAGGAGTTCGAGACTAGCCTGCCCAACATGGCGAAACCCTGTCTCTACTAAAATACAAAAATCAGCCAAGTGTGGTGGAATGTGTCTGTAATCCCACCTACTTGGAAGGCGAGATTGTACTCCAGCCTGGGTGACAAAGCAGGACTTTCAAAATAAAAAGAAAAGGAAAGAAAAAGAAAATCTGGCCTTCAACTTCAGCTATTCTTTAAGGCATCAAAACATAGTTTATGAAATAGTGGAACCTAAGGCTGATAGACCACACACATGCTGCGTTTGAGTTCATGAATATAGTGAGAGCACTCATCTGGGCTATTTGGACTCTCAAATACCAAATGCTCTACACACACTGAAAAATATCCATTTGATGTATGTGAGCCAATTCCAAATCCAAATGAATCCTCATTTCATGCACTTAAAATAATATCATCACTGTGTTTGACTTTTTGGGAGGCAATCTTTCTATGCAGAGTGCCCCTTTCCTTACTAATCCCTTTGGGATTGCAACTAAAAATCCATTTTCATTATTCTAACTTTTATTTAATTAAAGGTAGATTAAAGTACCAGTTATGCTAGCTGGTTAATCTAATGGAGGGTGTAATCAGAGGCCGTCAGCTGGTCCTAGAGTGGCTGAGTGCACTGGCTGCTGGCTGTGAGCACTGGGCAGGGTCACTGTGCATTTTCCAGTGAGGAAAATGAGGGCAGAGCAGCACGGCAGCTGTGGTTTCTGTGATATCAAGGGGGCACTTGGCACCACTGGCCTTTTCCATTTTTTAAAAATTTATGTGTACTCACCAAACTTGGTGGCAAGAGTTGCTTTTTGTGACTTAAGCCTCAAGACCATCCAGGGAGGAGGACAGTGAAGGGAAGGAAATTAGTGAATGACAGAGGGGTGTCACTGTCAATTTCTGTGATCAAGAAGAAATGGACGCCTACTCCATCTGTCTCTCATTCCAAAAGTTATCTCTGCAAATTGGGGGATGAAAGTGGGGAAGTGGGGGGTGATGAGAGGGATGAAGAGGTCTGGTAACAGGTAGCCAAGAGTTGGGTGTTCTGGTGTAAAATTTGTGGGGTGCTATTACTTCATTTACCTAATTAAAGGCTATTTTTAAAAAAATTAAGCTTATTTGAGATGTGTGGTTATTTACCCACCCCCTTCAAATCCCTCTTACATTCAAACTTGTGAATTTCATCTATTTTTGGAAATAAGATCCTGCCAGAAAATCATTTTATATCATTAGGCAACCACATTATATTCTTACGCCTTCAGTAAAGATGATTATATCTACCACTTCTTCTGTAACTGGCTTAGTAATTATTACTAAATTACTCATCAGCTTTTTCTAGTTGAGATAAAAATGCTTCTTTTAACTTTTCTCATGGGTCTCCTCCCCTCATCTTTCAGTGATCTTCAAAAATGTGTCTTGAAACCTCTTTTTAAGATCTTTATAAATCCTCTAAGATCTTTTAAAATCCGTAAATAGCTTACGCTGTGATAGCAGTCTGAGAAACGCTGGGAAAACAAAGGAATTGCTTCAGGAAGTCTTGATGCAGCCTACTCTTTGTTGGATCTCTGTGTCAGAGAAAAATGCTGACTCAGTTTGTATTTTCTACTTTTTAGATTTCCATTTTTACAAACGGAATCTGGCATCCGGCATCCTATTAGTGGAATCTCACAAGTGCGGAGTCAGGGACAAAGGGACATTTCAGACTGAGATTTGGGAGTTGCTAATCAATGTATTTCCATATTATTAGCTCTTAAAAACCGAATGATGCAAGCATATTTAATTAGATTTCTGCCAAAAACCAATTTTTAAGAAGGACAGTGTTCAGGACCAGCCATTTTTAATAACATCTTTTTTCTTTTTGGTCAGGGGAAATATTTTATAGGAATAGGATTTGTCTTCTGTTATGCCTTTGAGCTGTATGTTTTTGCTTATCCTGCTCTGCACCTGGGTAAACTGATCTCTTCTTTAGCACCTGAGCTTTGACATAACGTTCCCTGGAAGAACTGAATTGAAAGTTGTTCCAGCATCGAGGATGTCAGCAGGGACTAGCAGAGGAGATAAAAGGATTTGGAAATCTTGAAGTATCAGGGGATACAAAAGGTAAAGCTTGAATTTTTCTGCCTTTTTAAATTTGTTTTCAGCTTTTAATGCTTTTGTAACCTCCTCCCTTCTGAAGAAAGAGCAAAAGGTATTGATTTGCCAACAAACAAGACACTTAAATTAGGTTACACAAAATAGTGGCAGAAAGGAGAATAGGATTGATGGGTTATTTTCATTTCTAGTCTTATTCTACCTAATTCACTTACAGGAATTCATTCATTTCAAATTAGGATATAATGGATTTGTGGAAAAGTAAAGGAAATATCTGGAGCTGATTAATGTAAAAGTCTTTAGAAAAGGTAAGTGCCTCCTAACCATGTTGACTAACGTAAATAGACGTTATTTTTTTTTTCAATTAGGAAAAGAGAGAGAGAGAGATGTTTGTATATTGACAACACTAAAGGCCAGGAATAGTGTGGTTTAGAGGCCGGCACTTAACCTGTGTAATAATAAGTCAGTCTTATTTATAGTCTCCATTTTACTAATGAGAAAATTGAGACATTAAAAAAAAACATTGCACTTTAGGGTTTACTTTAAAATAATCTAGAATCAGGGATGAGAAATCTCATGGGGTACAGATGAAACAAGATTAGCCGTAAATTGTTACTCGTTAAAGTTGAATAAGGAGAAAGTGAGGTTTCATTACACTATTGTTTCAAAATGTTTTATGTATTTGAAATTTTCCAAAATGAAAAGTTTTTAACATGTCACTAATAAACATCAAAATTCAAAACCAGATTTTGCTGATTTCAAGCTTGTTCTCTCTCTAATATATGATACACAGAATGATTTCTGAAAAACTGAAGAGCAATTTGCCAACCAGATAGTAAATTAAGAATTTAAGTTTTATTTTGGAAAGTAATACTCGCAAGTTGAATGCCCTCAAACAAGCATACATGAATCTTAGTGTTAAGATTTATTAAATGGAAGCCATCTTTTCCTCTGTTGAGCAAGTGTGATGGCAAAATTGATTTTTAAAAAATGTCTTGGTGTTACTTCATTTGATTTTGTATTCTGAAATGATTTCTTTTCACCTTTTCTTTTTAAAGAAGATAGCTTCTAAACATTTTGTAGTAATTACCTATTTATAGAGATAGGTGAGAATGACGATTTTGTCCATGAGACAGAGTAGATTTATGGAATTTGTGAACCAATCTTTAATGAGATTGAACTTTAACTAGAGCAAGGAAAAACTTTTTGTTGTAGCTAATAAGAACCGCTTCCACTGGATTGACCTTACAGCTTTACCTTAATGCAGTTCTTTCGTTCCTTCACCTGTTAAGTGAAAAGGCCACCTGTTTAATGAAAAGGTTTCTTAAGAAATAGAATGTGCCTTAACTACACCATAAATCTATTTCTTAATACAAAATTATTCCATTGAAGACATTATGCTAAGTGAAAGAAACCAGAAACAAAAGGCTATATATAAAATAATTCCATTGATATGGCATTGTATAATGGCAAAGTATATGGATAGAAAATCAATCAGTTGTGGCCAGGGCTGAGGGGCGGGAAGAGCGGATTGGTGGCAGGGGAACACAAGGGCACAGTTTGGGCTGATGGAACTCTGTTTTATCTTCATTGTTGTGGTGGTCACACAGCTGTACATTTGCCCAAATTCATAGAACAGTACATAAAACGTGTGAACTTACTGCATGTAAATTATTTATCAATCAATCTGATTTTAAAAGTATAAATAGATACAGATACATAGTTTTGAAAATATGCCTCTTTGTCCATGAGAGCACAGTGGCCATGCGCTTACCTGAATGTCAACAGGAAGCCCCAGAACTTGGTTGTCAACCACAGTCATCATGATGGGCTGAATCATCAAGGCAATGAAGGGATTGATTCTAACCACCAGGGCGTAGTGTTCCACGCTCAGATTAATGCCCATCTGAAATCTGTCATCGTACAAATGAAAAGAGTTTTTAAAAGCACACACACACACATGTATTCAAATACAAAACAGTGAATTTGTTCTTCTCAAGGTTTTGCTTTGCTGAGGAAGCCCAGGTTTCCATTGACAGTTGTTTTTCTAAAAGCTCTTTTAGCATAGATAGTCCAAGGAAATAGACAAATGGGATGATGCAATATATTTTAACATTCCATGGGATGGGATATAGTATGCTAAGAATTTAAAACTAGTTAACCAATTCTAAAATAAAACCAAATTTTCAAAATACTCTGCAACTAAAGAACACTGAACATTGTTTGAAATAAATATGGCTTAGCAAGTCACTTTTAAAAGTAGACATAACAGGCCGAGCGCGGTGGCTCACACCTGTAATCCCAGCACTATGGGAGGCTGAGGCAGGTGGATAACCTGAGGTCAGTAGTTTGAGACCAGCCTGGCCAACATGGTGAAACCCTGTCTCTACAAAAAAAATACCAAAATTGGCTGGGCGTGGTGGCACCTGCCTGTAGTCCCAGCTACTCAGGAGGCTGAGGCAGGAGAATCCCTTGAACCCAGGAGGTGGAAGTTGCAGTGAGCCAAGATTGTGCCACTGCACTCCAGCCTGGGCAACAGAGGGACACTGTGTCACCAGAAAAAAAAAAAAAAAAAAGTTGACTGGGCAAAAAAAGCTGGCTGGGCACAGGGTTCATCCCTGTAATCCCAGCACTCTGGGAGGCCGAGGTAGGCAGATCATAAGGTCAGGAGATCGAGACCATCCTGGCCATGGTGAAACGCCATCTCTACTAAAATACAAAAAATTAACCAGGCCTGCTGGCACTCACCTGTAGTCCCAGCTACTCAGGAGGCTGAGGCAGGGGAATCATCTGAACCCGGGAGATGGATGTTGCAATGAGCCGAGATCGTGCCACGCACTCAGCCTGGTGACAGAGCAAGATTCCGTCTCAAAAAAAAAAAAAAAAAAAAAATTTAGGCTTATCAGTAAGTGAAAATAGGTCAGCATGATGAATTTTTTACTTATTTAAAGACTTAATTGCTAGATTATTAATTGTCTGAATTAACAATTTCAGAGTCAAATTGGTGAATATTTCTCTAGAAAGTCCTAAAATTGTTTCCTTTCATAGTTCGTTCAATCTTGTAATTAATTCATTTTAAATAATTGTACTGGGATGTTAAATTTAGTCAGCCAAGACCGACATATATAGTTAAAGTTCTTCCCCACAATTTAATTAAAACATTTGTAACGTGAAACTATTTACAAAATGAAACCAAATGAAAAATGTGAACTATTTTTATGTCCCTTCTAAAATTCTTTGCATAAAAAAACAAATACAAGCATTTTAAAACTATGTGATTCAATGAAAAGGCATTATTTCCATGCAGGATATTACCAGCTAAACATAGCAATAATTTTAAATGACCCTGGGTCCCACACAGTGACCATGACAGGTGGTCCAAATGGGACTTGTCATTTCAGGTGTTGCTTATTCAGCTAACACTTTTTCCCTTGAATGTGGAACTACATAGATGCTTTTAAAACTTAGACGGACTCAAATGGCAGATTTCCTTTTAGTATGCAAATTATTTCATGTTGGAATCTTGATTTAATCTGTACAGATGCCTAAGCAGCTTGACAGTGATTTATTTGGTTTTAGATAAAACCTCTACATGTGATGGATTAGAAAAAAACACAGTTCTGATGGTGGGCTCAGAGTAGCTTTGAATCCTAAGATTTTCAGTTCAAACCCCCAAATTATTTCCATGATACCTGAAATTACATGTAATCATACTACCTAAAATCTTATCTTTTTTTTTCTTGGTTTTTTGTTATTTTTATAAACTGTAGATATATACAGTTGATAACTCAGGATTTCTAGCCAATAACCATATAGTTAACACCACCTTACAAATAATAAAAAAAAAAATGCCAGAAACATCCTTAAATGCCTTGCCACACCAACAGCAAAGTTGACAGAGTGAGGAGAACACGAGAGTGCCTTTTCCTTTAAAAATGTTTGGAAAATGTACAACTTTGATACAGCTTCAGGATGCTTCAGACACCCATGGCCACTTTATGTAACCCACTGCCAATCTCTAGAGCACTTTGAAAGACTACAGTATGCTCGTGATCAAATTTTATAATTAAACTAATGAGGGAAACAGACACTTCTCAAATAAGAGATGTGTCAATTACTACGCTCCCCTAAGTGTTCACAAAGAGACAGATGAATAGTTTTTTTATTTATCCTCCTCCTTCTCCTCCCCCTCCTCCTTTGCGTCCTCCTCATCTTCTTCATCTTCCTCTTCTACCTTTTTCTGACAACTTTAGCAGGACCCTTTGCACCGTCAAACTTTCCTTTCGACTTATACTCAGCACAATCCTCCTCATACCTCTCCTTCAGCTTTGCCGCCTTAGTGATGTAAGGCTGCTTTTTGCTGTCATTTAGGTTATTCCTCCTCTCACCCAGCTTTTTGCCACGTCTCCAATAGAGATGCCAGGGTTTGTGGATTTGATCTCAGGGCGGAATTCTGAACAGAACAGGAAGAATCCAGATGGTGGCCTTTTGGGGGCATTAGGATCCTTCTTCTTGCCTCCTGTAGCTGGTCCAGAATCCTTCATTTCCTGATGATAGTGCACTTTATCCGCCTTTATCATTTCATCAAGTTTAGATTTCTCTTTCCTGGACATTGTCTTCCACCTCTCAGAGCATTTCTTGGAAAATTCTGCAAAATTGACAGGGACCTCTGGGTTTTTCTTCTTATGTTCTTCTCTGCACATCTGCACAAAGAAGACATAAGCAGACACCTTGCCCTTTGGTTTCTTGGGGTCACCTTTAGCCATCCTGACTGTATTGTTCACTAGTCTGGGCAGTGCAGGGCATGACATGTGGCTCAATGCTTCCCAGCCTTGAGACAGCTGCCTCCATGAGAACTGCCTCTAAAATCTTATCTTGAAGCTCCCACTGGGTTATTTCACGTGGCCTCCACTTGGTCACTGTGGAGAAATTAAGCTACCATGCAGAGAACTTTGCCTAGGACTAGCAAGTTCTTAGAAAAATGATTTTTGTACTTATGTTCTTCTATTTGGCATTTAGCACTAAATACAGATGAGCCTCTCTGGGAGATTGTCTGTAACTTAAAAAATAGAACTACCTTGAAGTTTTATTTGATCAATTATATGTTGTGTATTACGGAAGTATGAGATTAGCATTTCCCGATTTACTCTATGACTTAAAGGAAAGTAATAGGAACATCTGACATAGCATAAAAAAATTAGGTTGTGCCTGTATAACAATGCAATGATTAAATTAAAAAAATTTCAATAGCTCAAAGTTTTCTTTTCACATTGTATTTATTTATTTATTTGGAAGACATATTAACCAAGTGCCTACATAAAGCAAGAACTAGAGGAAACGCCAGAGGCATAACAGCAAACAAACTAGACAATGAGGGCACCCATGGAGCTTGCACTCCATCAGGGAATAAATTAGTACCAGATAACTGCTTTGATTAATATTTAGTTAGACTGACCCGTTTTTATATAATAAAATATGCAAAGTAAATATCTTTTCATATGAGAATCACAAATTAGGCCAGGCGCAGTGGCTCACGCCTGCAACCCCAGCACTTCAGCAGGCAGAGGTGGGCAGATTACTTGCAGTCAGGTATTCGAGACCAGCCTGGTCAACATGGAGAAACCCCATCTCTACTAAAAATGCGTAATTAGCCAGGCGTGGTGTCGCATGCCTGTAATGCCAGCTACTCAAAAGGCTGAGACACAAGAAGAGCTTGAACCCTGGAGGTGGAGGTTGCAGTGAGCTGAGATTACACTACTGTACTCCAGCCTCGGCAATGAAGCGAGACTCCAAAAAACAAAATCACAAATTATTTTATGGAAACTTCTATCACATAATGTCTGAAATCACGGATGGTCAACAGTCTTAGAATTTCTTATAAACCTGATTACTAACCCTTTGTATGAGATAAATTTATTCTACACTTGCTAAATTTGTAAGTTGCCTAGAAGTTAGAGCAGTAATTAGATGTAAATGAACTTACAGAGATTGAATTCACATATGTAGAAAATGATATTTTGTCAGTATGTTGAGTTAGATATGTAAATGATAATTTTATTTAGTGCCAAAGTTCACACATCAATTTGGTCAAGTTCCCTTTTTTCTCTACTGAGTACGTCTTCAGACACTAAAATGCTAGCTTTATTCAATCCTTGTCCAGTAATTAATTTTAAAAACATCACCCAAATTAATTTGATGAATATTTTGCTGAGTATAAAATTCAAGGCTAGCAGTTCTTTACTTTTCACACTTTAAAAATGTTCTTGGGAGCAGGGCAAAAGTTGAAAAACTACCCATTGGGCACTATGCTTACTACCTGGGTGATGGGATCAATTGTATCCCAAACCTCAGTATCATGCAATATACCTGTGTAACAAACCTGCACATGTACTCCCTGAATCTAAAATAAAAAGTGAAATTATTTTTAAAAAATAAAAATAATAGGCTGGGTGCAGTGGTTCATCCCAGCACTTTGGGAGGCCAAGGCAGGCAGATCATGAGGTCAGGAGTTCAAGACCAGCCTGGCCAATATGATGAAACCCTATCTCTACTAAAAAAAATTAGTCAGGCGTGGTGGTGCACATCTGTAGTTCCAGCTACTCAGCAGGCTGAGGCAGAAGAATCACTTGAATCCAGGAGGTGGAGGTTGCATTGAGTTGAGACTGTGCCACTGCACTCCAGCCTTGGCAACAGAGCAAGACTCCATCTCAAAATAATAATAATAATAATAATAATAAATAAAAATTAAAGTGTTGTTTCATTGTTTTCTGGCTTCCAGCATTTTTGTTGAGAATTCAGATCTCACTCTAATACTCCTTTGAAAGAAATGCACCTCACCTT